TGGCTTTCTCGCTTCTTTGCGGATGTGTGGATGCTATTTCCTAAGGAAGAAGAGTATATTGAGTGGTTTAAGAAGGCTGGTTTTAAGGATGTTGAACTGAAGAGAATTGGTCCAAAATGGTATCGTGGTGTCCGTCGACATGGTTTGATCATGGGCTGTTCCGTGACAGGTGTGAAGCGAAAGTCAGGAGACTCTCCCCTTCAGGTAAGCATGTTCTCGCTCCAGTGACGTGATACTTTTGCTGTGTTCTGTGAAAATATGTGTTTTCACATCGAACTTAATTGAATAGTGAGAGTACATTGTCTTGAGAAGAATGATATGATGGGCTCCTTTCCAATTTGAACTAAAACAGGTAAAAGAATTAGAAGAGTTTCGAAGAATCTTTTAATCCTCTAATATGTTTTCTTGATGTTCTGTTCTTAAAAAGCTGAAATAAAGGACATATAAACTGACATTTAATCTTTTATTCCTGAAACTTCCATTCCACTTTCATTAGTAATAGGTTCCCTTGGTGAAATTGATTGAAGAATTTTTCTTTTTCGGCCAAATTTAACATGAGCATGGCAGTCCTGGATACTAATTTCAAATCTGAAACAGTGATGGGTTGATCTTTCTGAATTTTTGTTGGTGCTTGGGGACATTTTAACAATCCTTGTGCTCACTTTCTGCAATGTTTTACCATAATGAAAGCATAGAAAAAAGCTACATTCATTTCATTGTCAGTTCTTACCTTAGAAGCTCTTTTGAGTTTCAAGGCAAATTTATAACTCAACTCCAGTACTGAGCTGAATTAAGGATTCAAAATCTTCAAAAGTTCTATTTTTTCCTTGGCCGCTCGAATCCCTGGTCTAAAATTCAAAATTTGCCTGAACCATAATTTTCTGACTACTTGTGATGATTTTTGTTGGTGAGAAATGTCAAAGCAAAAGTTTTGCATTGAAAAACATTTTAGGATCTGGAAACATCTGTTGAAGAATTTACAATAGTTCTTTTGCTGTTTCTATTTTCTACCAACTCTACTAAATTCAAGAGTGTCGCCCTTTGCAGCTTGGTCCAAAACAAGAGGACGTAAAGAAGCCCGTGAACCCATTTGTATTCTTAATGCGTTTCATCCTGGGAGCAATGGCAGCAACCTATTATGTACTTGTACCAATATACATGTGGATTAAGGATCAAATTGTTCCCAAAGGTATGCCCATCTGAGCAATATGGTAGGATTAGTGGAAGAGAAACTGCAAAATGCTGACATATTCCCATTGCCAGTTCTCGGATGTTTTCTTTATGGATGTGCATGTAAAATACTTTCTTTCCTTTGGTTTAGCAGTAGTGTAGCAAGGTTTTCCTGTGTTATCTTCCCTCCTAACTTTTGTTTTTACAATCTTCGTGTTGTATTCATCACATTCTGCTTAATTTCTCCGTGCGTTAATCTAGTCCTATCAAGTCGAAAATTTTGGCAATTTGAGTAAAAACTTTTGGAACATCTGGTTAGAGGACAAATGCTGCTGTGTAAGTATGTATCAGTTAAGTTATTCAACAACAAATAATCTTCACAACCTTTGATGATGAGAATCAACTGAAATACAGCATTGGTCAGAAAATTTATTGGGTATGGGCTGTAAGAGGGATTGAGCCATACCATCATCAAGCAGGAAAGGTGATTTAGTTGAGACACAAATTGAAAGAGTTCAAACTTCAGCTGTGCCAGAAAAAACCCACAAATGAAATTGTATTTTCCCAATGGACTGTGGTTTTTGTTCTTCTTTTACTTTAACCTGTTAAAAAAGGATCTACTCAGGTCGAATCCAGATTAGTTCGGTGAGTGAATTCCAACGTTGGGAATAATTTTCATCGAACTTTTCAGGGTTTTTTTTTTTTTTTTATATATATAAACCCAAACTTCCATTGATGCCTTCTGAAATTTGAAGAAGATCATAGGGAACATTTCGAGAGTTAATCATTATATCATGTTGACATGTTGTACTTGTAAATAGGCCAGAAAGGTGGCCTTACATTACAATTCAAAAACCTTTACATATCATGACTGTCATTGAAAATAAGTGTAATTTATGATCCAAACAAAACCAAATTTCCTAGTAAAGTTAAAATGCTGCTGTGTTCGAACCTCGGCAGGTGAGCCGATGGCAAGTAAAACCGCGTTTTGCCAGCCATGCAAAACATTTATGGTCATATACTGCCACTAAAACCTCTAAATACTCTCTCCGTTTTAAAATAAATGTCATTGTTTGGACACATTTTAAGAAAACATTAAATATGGTAGGTAAATTACTAGAATATCTTCAACTAATCCTATTAGAATAAATGCTCGCCAATAATATTATTTCTTTTAAGAGTATGTTTGGAAAAATTTGACAAAAAATACAACTTATTTTAGAATTTATCCATTTGGCTAAAACGACACTTATTTTGGAATGGAGGAGTACAAATCCCTCTGATTCTTCTTCTTCTTCAGCCTTCTTATTAAAGTCTTTCAAGTTAGTACTTAAGAAAGAAAGCACAACGCTCAAAGTCTTAAACTATTCCTTAAATTTAGTCGAATAATGCACCAAATACTATGTTAGCTCACGTTAAAACAACGTGTCTACCATTCCAAACTGTGTACGTGTATACATACACTTTTCTCCTGTACTAAAAAGAAAGTATGAACATCACATATATAGTTTTGAACGGAATTTCTCGATAGATAAAAAGTATATTTCCAAATATCTTTAGCTACCGCCCCCGTAGCTGTTTTTTCCTTAAACATGGAGCCGAAAAAATACTCCTCTTGGTTCTATTATTGAGTTCCACTTCTGTCTGAAAATTATTGTACCGATTATTAGATTTTTCACTTTTAATTTAATTTGTGCAAAAAATGAAAATTTAAATTGGACAATAATTTTTGGACAGAGGGAGTATATAAGATAAAAGAAAATTAGCTTATTAACGGTTTTCATTAGAGAAAATAAAATGATTGATCTCTAATTTTTTGTGGGTTCATGTTGCGTTGTACGGATTAGCTAACCGACATTACTTAAGTTAGTGGTGGTAACAGTAGACTGAAGGATGAGTTTTTTTACCAATTCAAAAAAAGAATCAATCGATGCAAGCTGTGAAGTTTTTCTTGTAAGGGGATTTGAGTATTAGTTTGATCCTTGAGGTCCCCTGGAAGACTTGTAACACTTTGGAAGTCTACTAGGACGTTTTTTTTTTTTTTTTTTTTTGTGTAGGGCACGACTTGTTTTAGGTTCAACTTTTAAATCAAAACTACAATTTGGATCTTAATTATGTACTCCCCCGTCCCATAATTATTGTCCTGTTTGAGTTTTTATTTTTAGTTCAAATTGTACTAAAAGTGAGATCTCAAATTGGACAATAATTTTGGGACAGAGGGAGTATAAGATTAGTTGACAATTGAGCTACAAAGAAAGTAACAAATATGGTGGACTAGTTGAATTTCTTGTATATTCAAATGAAGCAACTTTTCTCCTAAACACGTACACATATGAAAAGTAGGGATGTTCACGGTTTGGCTCAAACCGGTGGAACCGCCCAATCCGATCATCGGTTCGGTTTAACGGGCGGATTTTAATTGTATTTTTGAAACCGGCGGATTGAAAAATAAAAAACCGGTCATACTAGTCCGGATTACGGATTGGCACTTTCAAACCGTTTGTCAAACCGGACCGGACCGTATAAATATATATATATATATATATTAATAATATAATTATTTTTGTATATATAGAGCCGGATGATGACTTGTATTAAAAATGTTAAGTTGGCTCATTAGTATTGTTATTTCTCCTACTTTTACATATGTTGGAGGTCGCGTGTTCGAGTCCCCCCATTCAAAAATTCTTTTTTTCCTCCCATTTTCCCCCAAATAGGCCGAAAAAATGCCCAAAAAAATTCATGAAAAATCCTCAAAAAAGGCCGAAAAAAGTCACATAACAAAAAAAAGTTTAATTTTTGGCCCAAAATGGAAAAGTCTAATTAGAAGTCCTAACTGCCAATCCACCCAAACCAAATCATTCAAAACGGATTGGATTGGTCCGGTTTATACATCAATTCGGTCCGGTTACGGTTTCAAAAATTTTAAAACCGTAATGAACGGTTTGGTTACGGATTACGGCTAATCCGGACCAATCCGGACCGTGAACACCCCTAATGGAAAGTGACGTTATTCAGATTTTGCATTCACTATTGTTTGGTAGAGGATAGAAAATAAGATCTTGTTTCATATTTCGTGTATTATTTGTGTCTCATTATTTTAGAATATGTTTATTACATGAATTGATTGAAATCGATGAATTATAATCTTAGTGAAACTATGTCACCAAGAAGTTATACACAAATTAGTGCGTAACTAGTGTCATGTGAAGGGAAGAGAGTATTATGCATAATTTAATTCAAAATCCAAGAGACTAAAGGAGAAATGAATCTCTCTCCAGTTCAAAAAGATAGTGTATATTGAGTTTTGAAATTAATATAGTTATGATACGAATTTCAAAATTCAATATGTACGATTATTTTGGGACGAAACATATAGTAACTAGTCAAAAAAACTTTTGTAAGAGCAAATATGAGAAGAAATGGCAGCGTGGGCTTTGGGGTGGGGGCAAAAAATGGTGGAAAAGAGGAGTTAGATTGATATGGAAGAGATGCACCTCCCTATGCGGGTCGTCTCTTTGAATGCTCCCCTTTAGCCTTGTCCCCTACATATTCTATTGTTGGGGGCACAATCCAAATTTGTGGTGGGCTGCTGCTTTTACAAATTAGCTGCCTCTCGGCTCTCCAATGGGCTTCAGCCCAGTGAACTGATTTTTTTTGTTTTCTTCCACATTCATCCATTAAAGTTCTCTTCCCATTCCATACATGCAGCTATGAAATTTCCGCCCTCATGATTTGCTACATTGGTAACCATTTTGAAGAGCTTTGATAGTCTGAGGTCCTTCAAGTACAGACATTTCTTTCTGGGTTTGCCTTAATTTTCTCACATGATGTCTTCTTCACTTCTCAATGGAGCTGACAGTCTCAAACTCACAACAGGGTCACAGATTTTTGGTTCAGAACTTCAATTCAGCTGTTTCCCTAAAAAGGGTTTTGTAAATTATCCAAAGGGTTCAAAGATTCTAACTTTGACACCTAAATGTAGTTTATCTTCTTCCAGGCCAGTGTCTCAACCGAGGTTTATTCAGCACAAGCAAGAAGCTTTTTGGTTTTATAGATTCTTGTCAATAGTGTATGATCATGTGATTAATCCAGGGCATTGGACTGAGGATATGAGAGATGAAGCACTTAAGCCTGCTGAGTTGTACAGTAGGAATCTGAAAGTGGTTGATGTTGGGGGTGGTACTGGGTTCACTACTCTTGGGATAGTTAAGCATGTTGATGCTAAGAATGTGACCATTCTTGATCAATCACCTCACCAACTCGCTAAGGCCAAGCAGAAGGAGCCTTTGAAAGAGTGTACTTTTATTGAAGGTGATGCTGAAGATCTCCTTTTCCAACTGATTATGCTGATAGATACATCTCTGCTGGAAGGTAATTCCTCTTGTATTGGATGCAAAACTCATCATTTATTTTTCTGCAACCATTTTACTTGGAAATTTAGGGGAACAAGTTCCATTTTTGCTCTTCTTGTTTTGCACTCAAGAGTTATTTTTTTCCCCCATTATATTTTCCCAGCGGTTGCATTAGTCTAAATGACTCGTCTTTGTGGAACAATGTAGTCGAGAAATTTGAAATTGATGCTGATATACTACATGCACACCAGATAATGAGGCTCCTTATGCTGATTTTTTAAGGGCTTTCGCTTCTTAGCATGCTTACTAATTTTCTTTCTGTGTTTCTGCATGTTGCCTGAGTTTGGCCCCTCATACAATAGTTTGAACTGTACTGTGATTTTCTAGATATTCCCTTCTTTTTTGTTTTTTTTTTTCCCTTGCAATCAATCAATGTTTGTGCACCTACTCTCATAGTTACTCATCATTTCGCTGCAGATTCAATCAACATTGTTTCTTAGAATGTTTTTGAATTGATGCCTTGTTTCTCGTGTTTCGCTTGGTTTTGTTCCTAGTATTGAGTATTGGCCAGATCCTCAGCGTGGTATTAAGGAGGCATACAGAGTTCTAAGAATTGGAGGAAAGGCCTGCCTAATTGGACCTGTTTACCCAACGTTTTGGCTTTCTCGCTTCTTTGCGGATGTGTGGATGCTATTTCCTAAGGAAGAAGAGTATATTGAGTGGTTTAAGAAGGCTGGTTTTAAGGATGTTGAACTGAAGAGAATTGGTCCAAAATGGTATCGTGGTGTCCGTCGACATGGTTTGATCATGGGCTGTTCCGTGACAGGTGTGAAGCGAAAGTCAGGAGACTCTCCCCTTCAGGTAAGCATGTTCTCGCTCCAGTGATGTGATACTTTTGGTGTGTTCTGTGAAAATATGTGTTTTCACATCGAACTTAATTGAATAGTGAGAGTACATTGTCTTGAGAAGAATGATATGATGGGCTCCTTTCCAATTTGAACTAAAACAGGTAAAAGAATTAGAAGAGTTTCGAAGAATCTTTTAATCCTCTAATATGTTTTCTTGATGTTCTGTTCTTAAAAAGCTGAAATAAAGGACATATAAACTGACATTTAATCTTTTATTCCTGAAGCTTCCATTCCACTTTCATTAGTAATAGGTTCTCTTGGTGAAATTGATTGAAGAATTTTTCTTTTTCGGCCAAATTTAACATGAGCATGGCAGTCCTGGATACTAATTTCAAATCTGAAACAGTGATGGGTTGATCTTTCTGAATTTTTGTTGGTGCTTGGGGACATTTTAACAATCCTTGTGCTCACTTTCTGCAATGTTTTACCATAATGAAAGCATAGAAAAAAGCTACATTCATTTCATTGTCAGTTCTTACCTTAGAAGCTCTTTTGAGTTTCAAGGCAAATTTATAACTCAACTCCAGTACTGAGCTGAATTAAGGATTCAAAATCTTCAAAAGTTCTATTTTTTCCTTGGCCGCTTGAATCCCTGGTCTAAAATTCAAAATTTGCCTGAACCATTATTTTCTGACTACTTGTGATGATTTTTGTTGGTGAGAAATGTTAAAGCAAAAGTTTTGCATTGAAAAACATTTTAGGATCTGGAAACATCTGTTGAAGAATTTACAATAGTTCTTTTGCTGTTTCTATTTTCTACCAACTCTACTAAATTCAAGAGTGTCGCCCTTTGCAGCTTGGTCCAAAACAAGAGGACGTAAAGAAGCCCGTGAACCCATTTGTATTCTTAATGCGTTTCATCCTGGGAGCAATGGCAGCAACCTATTATGTACTTGTACCAATATACATGTGGATTAAGGATCAAATTGTTCCCAAAGGTATGCCCATCTGAGCAATATGGTAGGATTAGTGGAAGAGAAACTGCAAAATGCTGACATATTCCCATTGCCGGTTCTCGGATGTTTTCTTTATGGATGTGCATGTAAAATACTTTCTTTCCTTTGGTTTAGCAGTAGTGTAGCAAGGTTTTCCTGTGTTATCTTCCCTCCTAACTTTTGTTTTTACAATCTTCGTGTTGTATTCATCACATTCTGCTTAAATTCTCCGTCCGTTAATCTAGTCCTATCAAGTCGAAAATTTTGGCAATTTGAGTAAAAACTTTTGGAACATCTGGTTAGAGGACAAATGCTGCTGTGTAAGTATGTATCAGTTAAGTTATTCAACAACAAATAATCTTCACAACCTTTGATGATGAGAATCAACTGAAATACAGCATTGGTCAGAAAATTTATTGGGTATGGGCTGTAAGAGGGATTGAGCCATACCATCATCAAGCAGGAAAGGTGATTTAGTTGAGACACAAATTGAAAGAGTTCAAACTTCAGCTGTGCCAGAAAAAACCCACAAATGAAATTGTATTTTCCCAATGGACTATGGTTTTTGTTCTTGTTTTACTTTTACCTGTTGAAAAAGGACCTACTCGGTCGAATCCAGATTAGTTCGGCGAGTGAATTCCAACATTGGGAATAATTTTCATCGAACTTTTCAGGGTCTTTTTTTTTTTTTTTAATATTTATATAAACCCAAACTTCCATAGATGCCTTCTGAAATTTGAAGAAGATCATAGGGAACATTTTGAGAGTTAATCATTATATCATGTTGACATGTTGTACTTGTAAATAGGCCAGAAAGGTGGCCTTACATTACAATTCAAAAACCTTTACATATCATGACTGTCATTGAAAATAAGTGTAATTTATGATCCAAACAAAACCAAATTTCCTAGTAAAGTTAAAATGCTGATGTGTTCGAACCTCGGCAGGTGAGCCGATGGCAAGTAAAACCGCGTTTTGCCAGCCATGCAAAACATTTATGGTCATATACTGCCACTAAAATCTCTAAATACTTTCTCCGTTTTAAAATAAATGTCATTGTTTGGACACAGTTTAAAAAAACATTAAATATGATAGCTAAATTACTAGAATATCTTCAACTAATCCTATTAGAATAAATGCTCGCCAATAATATTATTTCTTTTAAGAGTATGTTTGGAAAAATTTGACAAAAAATACAACTTATTTTAAAATTTATCCATTTGGCTAAAACGACACTTATTTTGGAATGGAGGAGTACAAATCCCTCTGATTCTTCTTCTTCTTCAGCCTTCTTATTAAAGTCTTTCAAGTTAGTACTTAAGAAAGAAAGCACAACGCTCAAAGTCTTAAACTATTCCTTAAATTTAGTCGAATAATGCACCAAATACTATGTTAGCTCACGCTAAAACAACGTGTCTACCATTCCAAACTGTGTACGTGTATACATACACTTTTCTCTTGTACTAAAAAGAAAGTATGAACATCACATATATAGTTTTGAACGGAATTTCTCGATAGATAAAAAGTATATTTCCAAATATCTTTAGCTATCGCCCCCGTAGCTGTTTTTTCCTTAAACATGGAGCCGAAAAAATACTCCTCTTGGTTCTATTATTGAGTTCCACTTCTGTCTGAAAATTATTGCATAGATTATTAGATTTTTCACTTTTAGTTTAATTTGTGCAAAAAATGAAAATTCAAATTGGACAATAATTTTTTGACGGAAGGAGTATATAAGATAAAAGAAAATCAACTTATTAACGTGTGACACATAATTAGGACCAAAAAAGGTATTATCTATTCGGAAAGGAAAAAAAAGGGTTAGAGAATTTAGAAACCATGGCACCCCCAAACTTAAAAATAGCGGTTTTCATTAAAGAAAATAAAATGATTGATCTCTAATTTTTTTGCTCCCCATTTTTTGTGGGTTCATGTTGCCTTGTAGGGATTAGCTAACCGACATTACTCAAGTTAGTGGTGATAACAGTAGACTGAAGGATGAGTTTTTGTACCAAGTCAAAAAAAGAATCAATCGATGCAAGCTGTGAAGTTTTTCTTGTAAGGGGATTTGAGTATTAGTTTGATCCTTGAGGTCCCTGGAAGACTTGTAACACTTTTGGAAGTCTACTAGGACCTTTTTTTTTTTTTTTGTGTGTAGGGTACGACTTGTTTTAGGTTCAACTTAAATTCTAAACTACAATTAGGATCTTATATATAAGATTAGTTGACAATTGAGATACGAAGAAAGTACCAAATATGGTGGACTAGCTGAATTTCTTATATATTCAAATGAAGCAACTTTTCTCCTAAACACGTACATATATAGAAAGTGACATTATTCAGCTTTTGCATTCACTATTATTTGGTAGAGGATAGAAAATAAGATCATGTTTCATTTTTTGTATATTATTTGTGTCTCATTATTGCAGAATATATTTATTACATGAATTGGTTGAAATGAATGAATTATAATCTTAGTGAAACTATATCACGTCACCAAGGAGCTGTACACAAATTAGTGCGTAACTAGTCTCATGTGAAGGGAAGAAAGTAGTATTATGCATAATTTAATTCAAAATCAAAGAGACTAACGGAGAAAGGAATCTCTCTTTATTCCAAAAATATAGTGTATATTGAGTTTTGAAATTAATATAGTTATAGTACGAATTTTAAAATTTAATATGTATGATTATTTTGGGACGAAACATGCAGCACCTAGTCAAAGAAACTTTTGTTAGAGCAAATATGAGAAGAAATGGCAGCGTGGGCTTTGGGGTGGGGGCGAAAAATGGTGGAAAAGAGGAGTTGGATTGATATGGAAGAAATGCACCTCCCTATGCGGGTCGTCTCTTTGAATGCTCGCTCCCCTTTAGCCTTGTCCCCTACATATTCAACCGTAACAGCTGTACCAAAATTTTATTTCTCTAGATTTTGGTTCATCCAATATCATTTGAATATTATCTGTATATGGATTTAATTAGTAGTAGTACTACTTATAACTCTATGGAAAAATTATATCGTTAGGTTACACCAAAATCGAACAAAGATTTGAAAGGTTGTCTTGGTCGGCTTGGTACGTATAAGTAGTTGATATTGTAGGAAGTCCACCAAAATCAGCCAAGCTATGCGTTTAAAGTCCAGTTTTTGCAAATGTCTTTTCGTCCCAAAATAATAATTTTTTTTATTATACTTAAAGTAATACTATAATTTATTAGACAATTATTTCGAGACGCATGTACAAGGTTGAGTTTTCAATAAGTTTTCAGCTCAATTTCAATGTATTAACAATTGGAGCTGAATAATTTCCCTACTTCAATCACAGTCATCCGCATCAGCTAATACATGGAGCTAACTAATCTTCATCAACTACCAAATTGGAGAAAAAAAAAAAAAAAGGTGGAGTACTAACTTTTTAAGCCAAAAATTTTGATCCTTCTAGTTAACAAGACGAGGTCATAGAAAACACTGTATAACAAAGAATTATTCCAGTCATATTCTTCATTTTGACTGTCGGTATCCTTCATTTCATGTTGATATGACTTGAAATTAACTGCGATTTTCGAAGTCATTTACACTTCCTAGCTTATAGGATGTCTTTTTCACTGCATCACTACCCTCCTACTAACCTCTTTAATCATTCCTTAAAGAATAGCTCGTTTTATATATGATGGCTATCATTTTTTCCCAACAAAGACAACTCTATCTTTGAAATGTTCGTAGTATTTCTATTCGAACATCTAACTATTATTTATCGTAGTTTTTGATGGAGAAAAAGAAATACATTAAGAAAAATGAATATGTTATACAATCATAATTATATCTCAGAAAATTGAACTATCTTTTGGACGTCGAAGCTAATTTTTTTTTAACTATTTTTTCAACAAATATGTAGTAATTGATTTTGGTCTTCACCTATGAGTTTGTTTTTCTAGTTTGACTTAATATATTTACTAGTATTTATTATTAGTGCATTGTTCAAAAGAGACTTTTTGAAATAAATGTTTTTTTTTTCTGATAAATGGAGCAATAATAATATAATAATAATAATAATATTAGTAATGGCGCGTTGTCACGTTAGAAATTTTCCTATATAAATCCCCCCAGCTAAGATTGAGCTAAGACTCATCTACTCTTCTTTACTCTGTTTCTTTGTCTCTCTTCCCTTTCCCACACACACACACACACAGTTCCACTTCTTGTCTGAAATTCCATAGAGATTAAAAGTAAACATGATCGGAATGGGAGGAAAACCCATGGGAGAAATTCTGAATGAGGAACAGATTGTTGAGTTCAAGGAAGCTTTTAGCCTCTTTGACAAAGATGGAGATGGTAAATTCATTTCCTCTGTTTTTTTCCTTTTGCTTTTGTGTTCATATCTCTGTTTAGTTGTAAAGCAAAGAGGAATTAATTGATTTTTTTTTTTCTGTTTAATTTCTGCAAAAGGTTGCATCACCATCGAAGAATTAGCAACTGTGATAAGGTCATTGGATCAAAACCCAAGTGAAGAAGAACTACATGACATGATTACTGAAGTTGATGCTGATGGAAATGGCACCATTGAGTTTGCGGAGTTCTTGACCCTCATGGCCAATAAAATCAAGGTTCAATTCACACAAAAAAAAAAAAACAGTTTTTCTTAGTGGGTATCATGCAAAATCATTGCAGTATTAAATAGTTTGGTGTATCTAATTAAAAAGTTTTCTTCTTCATGATTGAAAAACAGGAAACTGATGCAGAGGAAGAGCTCAAAGAGGCTTTCAAAGTGTTTGATAAAGACCAGAATGGTTACATTTCCGCCAGTGAGGTAAGACTTCAAAACATTTCCTAAACGAGTTCCAGCAGAATAATTAGGTCATTATTGTAGATACATTTTTTTTTGTGTTAAAACAGAGTTCGATTCGTTTTATTGTTTTAATTCAATAAACATAATTCTTACTTTTGAGATCAAGAAAGAGTATAATATATGAACTTTTTTTTTTTGTTTTGAAATATTATGCATGAATATGCATGCAACTATTTAACTCTTAGCATATTTTTTCTATCCGGTGAAAATATAAATAGAATGATCATTTCGGAGCAAATGGAGAACAACTTATCCATTTTGACAGATTAAAAAAGAAAACTGTTAACATTTGGATTGCTATTTTTTTTGTTTTGTTTTTTGTTTTTTTTTTGCAGTCAAGATAAACACGGTTGCATTAATTCCATCAATACAGTAGTACAGCGAGTGGATCACATGTTAATTGATCTGTCACTGAATTTAGCCTTTAAACAAAACTAATTAATTACTATAATTTTTACAGTTGTTTTTAAGCCGATAGTTTATTGCTATTGTGGTATCCAAATCAAATGCAATGAACTTTATCCAAATCCCAATGAACCCTTTTGAATTTTGACTTGTTTTATTCACTTGTCATTTACACTTAATTGAGTTTAAATCCTTAAAATAAATTTGAAAGTAAAGATTAATAAATTTGTTTTTGGCTTTGGGATGCAGCTGAGGCACGTGATGATCAATTTAGGGGAGAAGCTAACCGATGAAGAAGTGGAACAGATGATTAGAGAGGCTGACTTGGATGGTGATGGTCAAGTCAACTATGATGAATTTGTCAAGATGATGACCAATATTGCTTAAAAGCCTTAAATGGAAAAAAATAGGAACCTCTAGCTTGATTTATTTGCATGCAAAATTGCAATTCAATTCATTATTAATTTCATTAGCTTGTATTCAATTATTTTTTTTTTTTTTAAAAAAGTACTTCTAGCCTCTTTATGTGTTGTTTAATCTAGTAGCTAGCATAGGATGAAGAATATAGGACATCATTGGATGAATTTGGTGTACTGTAATCTAATTTATGTATTGTATTCTTTCATTTGTGGTTCAATGTTTTGATACTCCCTCAATATCAGGAAGATGATCTAAATTCTGAAGGACAGGGTTGAAAGGATAATAAGGGTAATTATTTTAAAGCGAAGATGATCATTATTACTCCAATTCATGATGGTAGAGTTCTATACAACTGGAAAGAAAAGAAATTTATGCTCAATGGATAGTAAAATCAGGATAATGCTATCAATTTGTAGATTGGTAACCAGAAAAAAAAAAAAAAAGATTTTCAAAAACATCACACTGGATTTATAGATATAACCATCACTCCGGTGAGCAACTTTGATGGTTTAAACATCAATATACTCCCTCTGTCTCAAAATTATCGTCTAATTTGAGATTTCACTTTTGATACAATTTGAACTAAAGATGAAAATTCAAACTGGACAATAATTATGGGACGGAGGGAGTATATACTTAGAGCATACAAAAGAGTTGGAAGATCCACATGATTGAATCATTGAAAGCACCAGCAAACCATGAAATGAGTTCTCTTATCAATATATACTATCGATTCTCTTATCAAACAAAAGTCATCACACATGCACAGCATTTCTGAGAAAGGAATCCATTAGAATCATACAAACTTATGTGTGACTGAATCACCATTCTCTTTTGAGAAAAGCGCTGTTGCAGCAACCACAAAGCAGAGATTTTGGCTGATCCACATGAGAACAACCTAACAGATTCAAGAAAAAGATACTTGATTGGTTTCCATAATAACAAAAGTAAGTCTATACACAAGACACTGACAATATATTAGCAGGTTGGATTGCTAGATTGCTACTGCTAAAAGTTCTCCACACAAATCGCAACAGTTAATTCAGTATCTCATCATGTTTGATCAAGAAACTGGTAGATTGAATAAAAAGTGCATAGTGTGGGAAAATGCAAGACATTTCAGTTAGCTGCAGTCATTTAAATTTTAAAGTAACATATCTAGAGTTTTGGTGTTACTGAGAAATTGATCACTGATAGGAGGATGCTCCAAAGCAAACAAACAAAACTCACTTTAAATTTATGTGCAAAAGATGCTGAAAGCAACAATGAGATATGAATAAACTTGCTGAAAGCAATGAAATAAATCTACTTACAGTGGTGCAGAATATCATAGAAGGCCACTTTCTTGTCGATAACGTTTCAGTAACATGATGTGCGGATTTTGATTTCTGGTGTTTCACTTCCAATTCTTCTGGCAGACTCTTCTACAGACTCTCCGCACCACAACACTTCAATTGATTCCAAAGTAGCAATATATGAAATATCATATGGTATTTCCTCCAAATCCTTGCAATTCCGCACTACCAGTCGTTCAAGGGTGGGAAGATCATCATAAGAGGCAACCCATTCAACAATATTCAGTGTGTCCAACTTCAAGAACTTCAGTTTCTTGAACTGATCTTCTTTCATTTCCCATTTTGAACCCTCAAATGCTCCAGAGAGTAGTTTGAGATCTGTGAGGTTCGGCAGCTCTCCAATCCTGGATATATGACTCCATGGTAGCCGAAATTTTGACAAGGTTAGCTCCCTGAGACTGAAGGGCAGAACGAACTCCCCAGAATTAATAGCTCCACCATAGTAAATTATCTTGAGGGACTCGAGCCGAGCTAGGAAATCCAACACTGGGAATTGATAGCTGCCCTTGGAAGAATCCCATGACTCCAAGAAAATGCATCTCAGCTTCAGGAGATTTGGTAGCCTCCTCATAATGTTGATTGTATTATCCCCACAAAAAAGTGATGGGGTGGAAAAGCTGACTAAATTATCCAAATCAGAAGAACTTCCAACACGTTCATCATCATCATCTTTCGAGGTAAATCTCACATGTTCATTCACATGAAGATGCCTTAATCTTGCCATGCTCCATACGGTATCATGTAAAATGACTGTTCCCCGGAAACCCTTCACTACCAAAATTTCTAGTCTCCACAAGTTGGCTATTGATGGTGGTATAGACTGCACATATCCACTGACAGCTAAGTATCTCAATTGAACCATTAGTCCAATTTCTGCAGGGAAACTGGTTCCCACGTTGACGCATTCCAAATCTAGGAGCCTAAGTAACTTGAAGTTGTTACAAATAAAAGAAATCTCGTAAGGACATCTAGGCTCTTTATCCTCAGAAGCAAAGAAGATCAAGGATTTAGTTGTCGGGCCCGAAGGCCTTGAATTGAAAAAATGACTTCTTCTCAAGCAAAAGCTCAATCGGTAGTTTTCAAATGTTACAGGATCCAAATTATGCTTATTGTGGAACTCCATATCATACTCTGATGCAGGTAAAGAGGCATATGGTTCATCATACCTGGTAACTTGATGAAAAAAATCTTCACCTTTGGCTTTTGAGAGACACAAATCACGTAAAAGATCATGAAGCCGACATGCTTTGACCTTCCCATTGGATCTTCTCTTGGCAACAAGAACAAGGCTTCTGTTGATCAGCTCCATCAAGTAATCTTGTGCGACATCTTCCAAGCTCTTCGACTCCGCTTGCTTTATGAATCCTTCGGCCATCCAAAACTGCATCAACTTTCTTGCTGCAATATCTTTGTCCTCCTCAAAAACTCCCAAATAAAGGAAGCATGGTTTCAGATACTCAGGCAAGTACTTGTAGCTCAGTTCTAACATTTCTTTGCATCGATTTCCTGGATCGTTGATCACCTGTGAGCTTAAGCTCTGTGAAACTTTGTCCCACCAATCATGTGTTTTTTCTGTCTTCTGAAGGAGACCGGCTACTGCAACAGTGGCCAGAGGTAACCCTTGACAAAGTTGAGCAATTTTCTTCCCTACAAGTAACAGTTCCTTGGGACAATCCGCACCTTTGAATATTTTCTTTTCCAACAACATCCAACTTTCCTCATCTGAAAAGAAACGCATATGATGTGGAACACTGCCAGGCTTAATTGCCAAGGGCAAATCTATATGACGAGTGGTTATCAAAATTCTGCTCCCATTGTTGTCATCTGGAAATGAAATTTTCAAGTCATTCCAGGCTGCAATATCCCAGATATCATCCATTACAATGAGATACTTGTTTCTCAACAAGTGACGACGCAATTTTGATTGGAGATCTTCATCACTCATTGGATAAAGCTCATTAGTACGCCCATGGATGTCACTTTGAAGATCAAGCAACAAGTTCCTTTTCGAGTATACTTTTGAAACAGTACACCAAGCACGACGCATAAAGTGACATATGACATTTGGGCATTGTACACTTTTTGAGCAAGGGTTGTCTTTCCAATACCTGGCATGCCAACAATGGAAACAAGGGATCTCTGTGAAGACCCTCCTGTCAGTTGTTGTAGTATAACTTGTGCTTCATCAACAAGGTCCACCATTGGTTCAGCGATTGCTGATGTGGTATTCTTTGTTATAATGTCACATGCAACCTGGGGGAGGCTTTGGAATTCAGCAGTGCAGGATACTTCAGAAATACTGGAGATGTTTTCATCAACAAGTCTCATATGCTCTAACAGGGAATGTAGCCACAACGAATGTTTCAAATTATCATCAACCTCCATTAATTCAACCGCGTATTCCAGTTCGTATGCCAAGTTTCTAATGCGAGAGCAGAGACCACCTAGTTCTCCATTCAGGCCCTCAAAACCTGAAACTTTTCTGAGGAAAGATTGAAATGACTCAAGGTGTGGCTGAGCCTTCTCAAGAAGAGGCTTCACTGATGCAATTGATTCAGGATCATAATTCAGCAGCTCCATTATCTTCCTTGCAAGAAAATGAATGAATCCCTCGCCATAGGTCTTTGGGTAATTATAAGTTGGGAACTCGGGACTAAACTTCCTGAGCTTCGCCTTAATATCTTTTGCCTTTCTAAACAGCTCGGATAATGAAAGGAGCACTTGCTCGAACTTCTCCTTGTTGGGTTGGAACGAGTAAGAGAGAATGGATATCCTCCTTGCAAATGTTTCAATATCCACAAAGATGATCAACTCATCAGGCAAGTTCCTCACAAATGGAGAGATAGTTACAACTCTCTTGAAATACTTGAGTTCCAGAGCTAAAGATTCAATTTGATGTTTTGGTATGAAAGATTCACCATTCCGACCCTTCAATAATTCTGATAGGAATGATTCTGCCTTGAAAATCACAAGCTTATAAAGCAATTGGATTACCTTAGCCTTGGTCATTTTCTTCTTGGGTTGGTAAGACACATAAAGGGATTCTACCTCACGATTCAATCCTTCAGCGAGCTGAATCGAGTTGTATTTGCCATGTTCTGCCTCCCCATGCTGGTATAAACCATCAGTAAATCCTTTTAGGTCCTTGAGAATCTCATTGACTTCGAATAAAAAGTCTATACCGAAAAGCATTGAGGAAGTGATAGCATCGAGTTGCTTCTTGAGATAAAGCTCCATCATCAGGATACGAAGTCTGACCAGCAAATGAGAACGAGGGTGCACATAATCCGTTTTATTCTGGAGATAGACGGAACGATGAAGAAACGCAGCCTCTGCGATCATTGCATCGATCTCCTCAAACAAGCAATGCACATCCTCGCCAAAAGAGTTGGACCTCTGCTTACATTCGATGAAAGCAGAAACCAGCGAAGTCAGCTTCTCCAGAAGGTTACTGTGACTGCGGGAACCAAGAATATAATGACAAAAACTTCCAATGCAGGGACTGAGAGTTGGGGTCTGATACAGAACTTCTTGAAATCCAAGAATCAGCTTCCTAAACTCTCGATTTGTTAGATCCATTTGATGCACCAAACCTGGGAACCCACTGGCCTTAGTTCTTGATATTTCAATATCTTTTCGGTTAAACCAGAAATCGCAGGACTGATTTGCGATCCTCACGACCACAGATGCAATATGAGCAAGAAATCTCAAGCCCGACATCATGAAGATACTGTTGGATTAGTGGAAGCTCATAGCACGGGACACAGATTTGTTCCTTAAGACTACCATCCACAACATCCTTAATTGACTGGAGATTCTGTGTTACACAATTCATGAAGGTACCCCAAAATGAATAATCATAAGGGTAGTGGCGCAATGTTAGACTTGACAAGTGTTCCAGCCTCTCTCTAATTCCTCCATCCACTAGCTCATCAGTCTTTCTTTGGCAGTTAGCCACTGCAATGAGCAGATCTTTAGGCTTTCCAAAGTCAAGAGCTTTAATATCCTTACAAATCTCTTGATGCAAATCAGTAATCTTCAAATGGGTTGGGCTGGAACTTCGTCCTGCTTGCTGCATCAGCTTGTCCGCATCACTCCACTGGCTGATGGATAGCACCAGCATGTTCAAGAAATTCCAATCTCTGGAAAGTTGGTTTATACTATCAGACACTGAAGCCAACACTTGATTATCCGGCTTGGAATGATGATCAGATGGTCGTCCCCTCAGCCGCCCAGATTGCCTGTTTCTTCCATGCTCTGCCACACATTTGCCCCATACAGTCTCTAACTCCGGTAAGATCCGTAAGGGGTTCGACATCTTGGCATCTGAATCATTTGACGATCCTGCTCCTATGATTTCCGAGGAAAGCATACGAAAGACTAAAATAAGTTCAATGTGTACGATAAAACATGATAAAAAGTTGAAAAGAGAGGAACAAAGATAATGGACAAGGCGGAAATAGTATTATTCTTATAGTTGGTGCCGCGACAAAAAAAGCTTATTCACAAAATAACAATGGAATTCTCGGCTTTTCTCTGTGTCTTCACATCAAAGAAGAAAATAACATCTTTGCTTCTCCACTTTCAATCATATTATAGGATTGTACAGAATATGTGTTTCCTTCCTCGCACTTTAAAGTTTTTTTCTTTTTCTCTTTTTTTTTTGTTTTTTTTTTTCAAAAAAACACTACACTGTTGGTTGCTCTGATTGGTGCAGATGAAACCAGTTCTGTCATAGTATTTCTTTTCCTAAATTCCTAGTGGTTTGGTTGGTTAGTCTAGTCTTCCACTAACTTTTTTTTGGTTCCTCCCTCTAGAGTTAAATTACTCAGAATTAGCATGGTAGTGGAACAATTTAGATATAATAAGAATTCCAATCCATGATTTCTTCTCGAATTCCTCAGAACAGGATTTCTTCGGCTTGGCAAAATGCAGAGAGCTTTGCCGGTGAGAAATTTTTATTGGAAACTTTTCACTTTATGTAACCTGAGGTGAGGTCTTCCCACATTATGAAAAATCATTATTCCAAAATTATTCCTAATAATCTAATAAGTAACTAATGAAGGAAACTTGAAACATATAAGCAAATTCATAAAAGGCTATATACAGATCAAGATGCCCCTTCCAGCATTCCAGGAGTTCATTCTTTTTGTTTATAATCTTTTTAAACTTTAACCTCACAAATGTTTTGTTTTCTTAGCAGCAAAGCTTAGGGAGCAGACCCTTCTGAAGTTTCCACGCCATCTCCTAGTAAATCAGGAAAGGAAAAAGCCACCAGCAACCAGAAATGGCAGATTCTGGCTAAGTTATCATCATCATTTGGGGAACTGCAGAGGTCAAGAAAAGTAAATGAAATTTTCCTCCAACCAATGTCTCGATTCAACAGATATTCTATTGGACAAGGACCAGAATTCTACCAATAATACTTTATTAGGGTGCCAACAAGGTAACTATAAGTATATAGAGTTCATCAATCTGCAAAAGTAAAATGCAGTGGTTGTAATTACAAGCATTACCTGGATCAGAAAAGTAAGAAATTTAGTACATGTATTCTTGTGTTTCCACTTTGAATCAGCCACAACCCGGGATTCTGCCAAAAATGAATAAGGTAACAACATATTAACATTTATGTATTTGTGTTTAGCTCCTGTAATGTAAGAATGGGTGGAAACAGGAAGGACACCAGGGGGCTATTACGGACTTAGAAGCAACAAAAGGCATCCTCTATTCTTTGATAAAGTTTTCCAGCTACACAAATCAATCGACAGTGATAAATGCAACGAGAATTGAATAAAGTTTAGCTGGGGATAACAATGAAACATACCTTTGATGCTTATGACTTATGAGTGGGTGATCAGTACTTTGATCTCCCCTGTCTCAGCTCCAACTTCTCTTGCTGACTCTTAAACTGTGTGTCCACAACATTGGACTTCAATCATTTGCAATGTATTTATACATGCAAAATCATGTGGAACTCCCATCAAATCTTTGCAATTGCGTAATACCAGTCGTCCGAGTTTGGGAAGATGATCAGAAGAAGCTTGTCACTCAGCAAGATGAACTCACCAATTTTTATTTTCCTGCTGGGAACAACGGAGTCCTCTTTATTATGTTTCTTGTTATGATCTGTGTTGTATAGAAATTGAAATAGGATCTCCGAGTTTCATAATTATGATTTTTCAGAGCATTCAAATTTAATACCCGGTTAAGTTTTGTTGGTTTAGGCCTATATATGCAGTGCTATGAAGATAGAGGACAAATTTAGGCTGAAATCTTCCATATATTCATTTATTCCTTTGTTATATTGAGATGCTTTGGTCTCTTTCGTCTGTTGAACTTAGTAAACGTGCCGTTGAACTAGAAAAGAGGTCAATTCAGCTTTGTAAAGAAGTTGTTGTTCTCATTAGCTTTGTGAGAAGAAGTTGTTCTCTTTACAAGAATTATACTTGCGTGGCACTGAAAAAGAAGAAAATTACAAGTACTACTGCTCAACTGTACGAAGCCCGAGAAGCAACTGAAGCCCACTAGTGACATACTATAAATGACATTATTAATGTCATTGATCCCTTTCTTTTTACAACTACTCCTACTGTAAGAAGCCCCAAAAGCACCTGAAGCCCACTAAGTCAGGATGAGCGTAAATGACAGAGATGGCCAATCAAACACGCCATAGATTGCTAATTCCATGCCTTAACTGAAAAATGCATTAAAACAGAAAGAAATTAATATAACACAATGTGAGAAAGGAGCCATAAAAAGAAGAAATATATATATATATATATATATATATATATATGTCTAACCTCCATAATATTTTGACCAATCTTCAAACACTGCATGATGTTCATAGGCAACGTTGAAGACCTCAATTACTAGCTCAGGAAATTGAGTATTGAAGTATCCAAAGAGTCCGCCTTGCTTTTCAGAGAATAGTCTCTGCAAAAAAAAAAAAAAAGGTACAAATCACATAAAATGAGATTTTTGAAAAAAAAAATGGAGGGAAAAAAATTTGATAAAGAATGATTAGATGCGGAGTTTTACCTCGGCAATGGAAGGATCAACCTCCCATATGTGGTGGTCCGAGTTCCTGATCAACCGTAATAGCTGAAGAACAGTATGTCCATAATTCTTTTGTTTTGCATGGTTCTTCTTCCTAGCTTTGTTTGCATAAGTCAAAAAACTAGGATCAACCTTGTGCTTCCAATCTTTATATCCCGGCCATAGACGGGCAGATGTGTTGTTCACGTCATGAGCAAACCATGAGTCGCTCCAATTTGCCAAACAATCACTAACCGCACACAAAAATGCTTTTTTTTTTTGTGTGGGTGCCAAAAAAAATGGATGAGACAGCACATCCTCTATTGTTGTTCTAAAATTATACCAAAAAAAAAAAAAAAAATCTCAACACATAAGCCAAGAAAAAAAAAGGAAATGAAAATGAACAAAAAAAGATCTCAACAAAAAAAAAAAAAAAAGCAAGGAAACATACACCAAAACAAAAGTGTTACCTTTGTTGTGGATCAAGATCAACCATGAACTTAAGCAAATCGGCTAACTCCGGACTGTATGGTTTTACCGCATTACCATCCATTCTACCATCCATTTGGCGAATACGTCTTTGGCCATAAAAAACGGTATGATATATCAAAGATGCCAAGCTTTCAATGTCGTGCAACTTAGTTGGTGAACAAATGCCTCTCGCCACTTTTGGATCCAACCAACTCTCAGATTTCTTGATCCCTATGTTTCTCAATTTTACTGAAAATTCCTTCTCTCCAGTGTTGTTATGCTCGGACCGGACCGGCCGGTTGAACTGGTTAAACCGGAAACCGGACCTCATACCGATCCGAGCAGCATATAAAATCGAAGATTTGAGAATCGGTCAAACTCGGTCCAGATTCCGAGCGAACCGTGAACCGAAAAAAACCAGATCAACCCCGGTTTTTACTTTTTTTGGCTGGCTCCACCAATTTTTTTAACTTTTGATGTGATTTTTTTTTTGTCAGCTTCCAGACTTTTGATAGGGTTTCCCGTTCCCCTTTTTTCACTTTTTGGCCTTTTCATTCATTTACAGTGTTCATCTCTTTTTGCTTCTCAAATTTTCTCACATCGCCGCTTTACTCACTTCTAAATCGATCCACTCAAAACTCATCCTTTTTAATTTTTTTGTTCAATCAATCGCCGATCTATCATCACAGAGTGTTTGCAGGCGGCATTTGCTACTTTCTTGCTATTTTCAACTTCTATAGACAAATACTCTATAGCCATGCTAATCCTTTGATTAAGTCGTAACCAATGAAGAAATTGGCCGCATTAACCCTGTGATTTTCGCCGTTTCGGAGATCAGTGCTTTGGATTTGGAAGGTAAGGAGTAGATGTATGAAATTTTTTTTTTTTCACCTCCTTTGTCTATGAAATTTTATAAACACATCTTCGAATACGAATCAGAAGTTTAACTTAATATGAACAAAGAAGATTATGAATTAATTAGCTTTTCTTATCCTGGTATAAAAAAATTAAAAAAATAAAAATTCCACATTACTCTGCATTCAGACCCTTTAACCCATCTTGCTAGAGTTATTTTCTTCGTAAATTCTGATGGAAGCTGCAATTATGCATTAGATTGTGGAAATTTGCATGAAATAAATGGCGGCCGCCTAATTAGTGGGTTATCTTCAAGGCTCAAAACATATCTTCAATTTGGAGTTAGTCAGTGGGCTATGGGCTACAACTGTAGGGTGTGTTTTTTTCATTGTTTATATAGGTTTAGTTTTATAATTTTTGTTGTACGAATTTATTTTAGCTTCTCTTTTTTTGGTTCACTTTTTATAAATTTTTCTACTTTTGGCTTCATGAAATTTATTATTTTGATTTAATTAGGCCATATGACATCTCGTGTGGAATATGTGAATCTATGATTGCAAAAGGTGTGCAATTCAATGTGGAGAAAAAATAAGTTGGAAATTATTATCCTACAAAAGTAAGCTTGGTTGTAAAATGACTGGAATTAAAATTCTAAATCACTTGCCTATACTGACACTGTGTTCTTGTTCTTTTCATTAGATATGGAGCTTTACAATGAAATCAGTCTGCTGCAAACCAGAGTTTAGGAAATAAATTTGTTCAATGGACCAATATAATAACAAATTCTGCTAGATGGTTTCGAAATCAATTATTAAGGTTTGTTGTTGTTCATGTTCAAATCGTGTTTTTAACTCCATTTTGATCATGGTTTTGCATTCCCATCCATAATGATAGAGCTGTAGAAAAATGTTTGATCAAACAGCTTTAGTTTATAATTTAGTTTTCCTTATTATTTTTCAAGTAATTTACAAAGAAAGTAATTGAAGTTTTATTTCTGTTTTTTTATGT